GCACCTCGTGTTTCCTTTTTTGCCCTGTCATGTCTGCCCGCGCTGCAGACAAGCGGGCTCGGGTTACAGCTGTTTTGACAGCTCAAGGACGGTGCAGAAATTATAGGTCTCCCGCACTTCAAAGACGACAGTCCTGCCAAACGCGCTTGTAAAAGCTTTGGGAGGAAAGCTAAAAGTGGTAGTGCGCGTTATCCCTGCTTTCCTGTGATTTCCCTGCTGGGTTGACATGATCTGAGCTGGGAGCAGCCAGCTGGCCTGGAGACTCACTGGCCAGTCAGAGACAGCTGTGTTCCCCATGGTTGCCTTGAAGCTCAACTGAAATACTTCACGAACAAGATGAGCGTTAATGCTCTTGCAGAGCTGAGCATCTGGCACGAGGCATTGACTGAAATAAATTTGCCCCTTTAAAAGGGTTTACAGGGCTGTGTTCTGGTCAAAACAGAGTAAAGATTAGATAAGCACACTGGGGGGAAAAGCACAGAGAGGTGTGGTAAAAAACGATGTAGACTGGAGAAGCAGAGAAAATGCATGGCGTAGGTATTTTAAAACTGAGAAAAATGAGGTGCGTGCTTGCAAGGTTTGACTTTCAGAAGTGTGCAATACAAACGAAAATCAAAAGCTACTGTGAACCTTTTTAGTCTGTTTGCATCCCCTTTTTTTTGCCGATTTCCTGTACTCTGCTGTCATTCTGAGCGTCACTCACTTCCCCAAAAGGAGTGACAGTGTCCAAACAGCTCGTGCAAAGGGAGGAATCCGAGCAGATGGCGAGTGTGGAGTGAATCATGGAATTGAATCTGCCTCAATTGACATTTGTCTAGAATCAATGAATGAATTAATGATAAAAAATCAATGAATGGGCGGGCCCAGCTGACAGCCCTGTCTCAGTCTCACGCAGAAGGACACAGCAGGGTCTGTGGTGTGTAACTAATGTGATGATCACTTTTTGCAGGTTTGTTGCCAAAGATTTTGGAAAAACAGAAACAGGAATGATGCTCTCAAATTGCAGACACTGGAAATCACTAAAAATCACTAACCACTGGGAATTGATCCATGCATGTTAAAACATTCTTTAGGGTCGGTCATGTGAAGGAAATGGGGCTTCTCTTCTTCCTCTTTTCCAGTCTGTCCCTTCCCCCCATCTCCCTGGTCCTTCTCCCAAAAGCCTTCCCACTTTTCCCCCTGTTTTCTCATCCTTTGTTCCCCTTCACCTTCTTTCCTAATTTCCCTTCCACCTGTCTCCACACATTTCACCCCTCCATCTTGTCCTCCTTCTTTTCTCTCTTCCTCAACCCTCTCTCTCCCTCTGGCTCTCCCCTGTCTCCCTCCATCGGGTCTTCACTGCAGCGCCAGGCCAGCAGGAGTCAGTTGCAGAGTGGTTGTGGTTGGCAGGGATTGTAATGACCCTCTGCAGCCCGTTCTGCTAGCGCCCTGCCAGCTGGCCTGTATTTGTGTGATGGACTTGGAGTTCAGGCATAGCGTGTGTGTGAGTGTATGTGTGAGAGACTGGAGACTGGGAGTTCATGCTGTGTGTGTGTGTGAGTGAGAGAGAGACTGGAGACTGGAGACTGGAGACTGGAGACTGGAGACTGGAGACTGGAGACTGGAGACTGGAGACTGGAGACTGGAGACTGGAGACTGGAGACTGGGAGTTCATGCTTAGTGTGAGTGTGTGTGTGTGTATGAGAGACTGGAGACTGGGAGTTCATGCTTAGTGTGTTGTGTATAACTGGGAGTTCATCCATAGTGCGTGTGTCTGTGTGAGTATGTGGGAGATACTGGAGACTGGGAGTTCATGCATGGTGTGTGTGTCTGTGTGAGTGTGTGTGTAACTGGGAGTTCACGAGTGTGTTACGGACTGTGTATTGTGTGTCTTATGGATTGTGTGAATGTGTTATGGGCTGCGTGTGTCTTATGGATTGTGTGAGTGTGTTATGGACTGGGTGGGTGTGTGTATGCACACACTCTTCTCCCTGGGCTGTTTCTTGACCCAGTAATTGCAGACACAGCAATTTATGCCTTTCTTTTTTTTTTTTAGAAATATCAGATTTCTGTTATTATTTGGAAGTTGTCGGTGATTGAATCCAGGCTGTTGAACTTTTTTTTTTTTTTAAAGTCATGCAAGAGACTCACAATTGCCTGGTTGAGAAAAAGCAATAAAGGTTTTGTTTGGTGCTTGACACTGGTCAGGTGGGAAGGGGGGGCGGACACAAGGTCACCCACAGGCAGATGTTACAGCTGCCACATGGGGAAAAAGGAAATAATCTAACCTGATTTGACAGGTCTGTCTTATGAGTTGTCAGCTCATGAAATGTAAACACAAGTACCCCATAGTTAAACTAAGAGGGTCTGGCACTTCTTATTTTTGAATAGATCAATCTAAAAACAGGAGCCTAGCCAATGTCCACACACTGTATTGTATTACTACACTCTTGCAGTGACTCAGATTCCTGGCAATATTTCCCAAACAGGGTTTTATGCCCTGGCCAAACAGACCATGTTAATTCTGCAGTTTCCATACGAGAAGACCAGGATTCATATTCTTTCATTGCACACATATATAATAACTGTGATGTCTTTTTTTTTATTTCATACCAATTTGGAACTTCAGATGGATGTTGGCTGGTTGTCCAGTGAGAATGAGGGATGCCCACCTCTCAGAGCTCCATGGTGCCTCATAGGAGAGTGAGCCTTGATTGGAGGAGCAGTGTGTCCCTCGCTGATGTCACTGATGTGTGGTAAGTAGGAGGAACGCTGACCATCTCATGCCTAATGAATCTCCATGGCATCTGTGTGAATTGCTTACTCAGTCATTGCAGAGAGAGCTGCATATTGCTCACTCATGCACACAACCCTAGATCACAGTACTTTACCAAAGGAGCATTTGATACAAATCTAAACAAACAACGATTAGATGTTTTAAAAATGATTATTTGTAAAGGGGGACAGAGGGTGGGAGACTGCTGCAATGAGACTTTCACTACAGTGGATACTCTCTGCTGATTAAAGAGAGGTTACAGCAAATTAAGGAGGCTCTGGCCCCCTGCTCATATTGCAGGCTGGCCTGAGCAGCATTTGCACTGCAAGACAAAAAAGAAAATCAAGCCCTGCTTACGTGTAACCAACATCTGGGCTGCATTACTGTACTAGGGGTCTCAGTAGTAAACTCAAGACAGTTGTGTAACTCAAGCAACCAATTTGCGCTGTTTTAGACAATCGTGAAAAGGATAAAGAAAAATGGATCTGATTCCTGTACAACGGATGTATAAACTGCATTTCCTCGAGAGATAAACATTTTTTTCCCCACTCTTTTTCCTTTTGACCTTTGTACATTTTCCCCACAGATAGAGTTCCAGAACCTGGTGATGACTTCTAAAGCTTGTTCACATCACACTGGACCAGAGAGCCAAGCTAGTGGAAATTTCTGTTTTCCTTGAAGGAACGTTCACCTATAAAGAAGTCTCTCTTGTCGCCTTTCAGCTCTGTCAATAAGCCCACCCTGCCTCGCTCCTTCTCTGAATCAGCCACTCAGTGCTCTTCTCTTCCTCTGCTCAATCCTTGAGCTCTGCTCACTACCACACTCCCTTAGTCTAATGCTGCCTGACCCACCCACCAGCTCACACTTGCTCCTCACCATCCCCCTCTCTCTCCCTTCTCAGGCTCTGCTCTGGAACCCCCAGTGCCTCCCTCTCTGTGTATCTCTGTGCATTAGCCCATATAACCCCCTGCCTTCGCTCAAGCTTGGTCCCTTATCAGAAAGACCCACTGTGCAGGTGATAATTGAAATACTCTGCTCTGCAAACACAACAGATGGGCAAACTGGCCCAGAGGGGAAATCGGAAATGTTTCAATCTAAATATAGAGTCAAAGAGAAATCCGTTCGTTTGTGACATCAGCTTAAAGGGTAATTAGCAACAGGTTGGGGGCATATGGTAATTGTCTCCGAAGACATTGATTATTTTGCTCAGTCCTCTTTTTTCCCCGTTTTGCAATGCACGTTCCTCGCTCCTCTCCTATCAGAGAGGAGCAGATCCCTTCAGACAGGCTGTGTGGCCCCAGCTATTGCCGATGTGGCACAGCTACAGTGGTTAACTGTTTAGGGGAGTGACTCCTCTCTCTTGCAGTGAAAGGCGTCGTGCAGCTCGTGCCTCTACTTGTTTCCTCCTGATGTCTGCAGCACTAATGTCAAACACTGGAGCGACGTGGCTTGTAGCCTTTCCCAGTTATGGCAGAAAACTAAATAAAATGCAAATACAAACAGTGTCACGGAGACCTGGCAGCTGATTGTAGTTTACTGCTCGTGTGCTTATTCAGATCGGCACTTGCCAATGTAACAGTAGTCGTACTGCTAGCAATTGTGTCTCAGTTCAGTTTTTCAAAAGGTTTGCGAAGCTTTTAAAAGGCCTTTAAAACAGAGATGAGGAATTTAAATGGCTGTAGTGTGCACGTATAAAATCAGTGATATCTCTGACTCAGCTATATTAGGCACTCTGCCTACGACAACTTAATCTTAGTTGTAGCCACAGTTGATGCGTGCCATATGTTAACTGAAATAGTTCACATTTTCATCCTTGCGCCCACGCTTTTATGGGAAATTGTGGCTGGCTCAACAAGGTGTTGTAGGCACACAAAGTTTAAACACCTAAGTCTGCATTGCTGACTGTTAGAATGTGAAAAGAAATTGCAGTGCATAAGTGTGTCCCCTAGTTTTGCTTAAAAGTTGGAGGTGTACTGAAAATAAGCTGACATTTGTCGTACTGCGATGTGTGGCTGCATTAAACAAAAAGCTGTAAAAAAATGTGTCAATGCAGTTGAAAGTGCAATGAATTGCACAATCCTTTTGAATGCATGTATACATTTGAGGCATTCACGGAGTGATTAACATCTATGAATGCATGCCATTGTGCGCCTGAATTTAGGTATCGTTAGCTGTAACTGATTTTTGTTGGGAGTGGCAGATTCTCGCCGTGATAACATGGACAATCTGATCTCAAGAGGATGTTCTGGCTAGGTCTTGTCCCTTTCTGTTTCCCTGGAATATACTTGGTAGCCCATCAGGGAGTGGGGTGAGGCATGGGGACAGAGGTGGACACGTGCTCTCTCATTTCATGCACTCTGTGTCCTGCTTCTGGGATAGGCTCCAGCAGCCTGTGACCCACATCATGCTGACTTTCTGATGATGTTGATGACTTTCACCAGTCTGTGATTCTGCAAGCAACAGTGCTCCACTGGGCTCGACTCCACCCAGTGTTTATTCTATAGGATCTGCGACGAGGACGTTGATGGGCGGCACTTCAAATCTTACAGAAAAGAGTCCCCGGACTTCATCTCTCTTGTGCAGGCTGTCACCTGACCGGGACTGCATTACAGCCATGCTAACCATGGTGCAGTTGTCTAACAAGACCCTTTACCTTCCTCCAGTGAAAAAAAAACTGCAGAGTCTGGTATTTGCGATGGGCCGGCAGGAGGGACAAGTTTTGGCGAAAGCTAACGGGACATTTCCGTCCCGCTGCACTAAAGCAGAGTCTCCTCCATCTCCCCAAGCTTTTTTGCGACTATGGAGAAAAATAGGACACCGCCCATCACCAAGTTCTCCTTGCACTTTAGTCTTAAACGCATGGTGTGGCAAAGTGATGGCAATTTTCAGGAGGCAGGTGCGCACATTGCTGTCACAGGGGAAGAAGCGTGGTGTGTTGGTACAATTTTCCATTCCTCCAGCCAACAATCTGCATTAAAGGTCATGTGCAGTACTTGGTAATTATTACTAACAACACTGGCGTTACTAATGACCACTAATTTAGCTAATCTACACTTCTCTCCATGTGTCACTGGTGAAATGAACGAGTCACGCCAGCTCTTGATTTGTTTTTAATGGAACAGACTGCAGCGTTTCCCCACTTGATTGTTAGTGATTCATGCACAGTTGGTGTGCACATACCTCATTATCCACATCTAGCAAACATTATATAAATACACCGGCAGCGTTGCGACCTAAAAATATTTTAAATAACTGTGCTCATTACGTTTCAGTAGGCCAATTCCCTACAAGTACAATAATTGGTAGGAAGACTTTACAAAAAAAAAACGCCCTAAATATTGTGATGCCTTCATGCAGAATACTTTAAGCCACTTTCTCAAGTGTTTTAATTTAATCATAGTACCAGCTATGTAAAGTGAGCATTAAAAGAAACATCACACTTTATCTTTTTGGGATCATTTGGACGAGTTGATCATTCCTGACTGGCCATGATGTACCTGAGTGGAGCAATGGACCCCTCAACCACAAACAGGAGAGAACAGTCAACCTGTGATGGGACTTGGGTTCGAACTCGTGATCGTAAAAACCGAACTTCCATCTGACATGCACCTTTTTTTTACAAATAAAAAGTTTTTTTTTACAATTAACAAAGCCACTACCGACTGGACAGACACGATTACCGGCACAAGTTTGAATTCGTAAACATTGAGCTCTTCTGCGCATGTACTGACCGGCATGCAGCTTTTTTTTTTTCTCTTCACAAGAGCCTTGCAGTCGAGTGCGGCTGACGTCGCAGAGCAGGACTGGTAATGCTGAGCTCGCGCAACCTGACCGAGATCACGTGGAACTTTGAGGACGACCAGTCCAATTTCAAATGAGTTATCACGCTGCAGAATATTTGCAACCAGCACAATTCAGCTTCATTATTTATCTGCCTGGGGGCCAATAATGTGGTAATCTGCTACATGACGCGCATGGCCTCACTAGACGCTCTCGGTGCTCCTACAGCACATAAGCGCATTTTTCATACAGCAGTCTTTCTCAGAGTTCAATTTGTTTGTTTATGTCTTGTCTTTGTCTTTTGCTTTTAATGCTTTTCAAATGATGGGGGCCAAGCGGCACTGGTATTGCTGCATCACAGTGCTGGGGGTTCAGGGTTCAATTCTGGACCCGGGGTGCTGTCTGGGTGGAGTTTGCATGTTCTCCCCACATTGCAAAGGTTTCCTCTGGTTCCTCTGGATTCCTCCCACAGCCCAAAGACATGCTGGTAAGTTAATTGGCTTTTGGGAAAAGTGGTGTAGGTGAAGGCGTGTGTCTGTGTGCACCCTGTGGTGGACTGGTGTCCTGTCCAGGGCGTATCTAGAGGTATGCCCCTTGCTTAACAGGAGAGGCTTGAGCTCTCCCACGAGCCTGTACTGGATGAATGGTTAGTGAACGGAAGGATGATTTGTGAATGAAGGAAACCCAATCCCCGGTCTTGCTTGGTTGCTGAAACTTCATTGATCTCTGAAAGATTTAGATTTTAAAAAAGGAGGCAATCCTGTGAACAAAAGAATGATTTAGGCTGGAAAATAGGTTAAATTCAGGTCATGCCTATAGATTCTTATCTTGCATGGGTCATGGGATTGATTTAGGTACTCACATCGTTAACTAATTTGGATGACATCTGCTCTTGAGACGTGTACACAAGTACAGAGACACGTTTCTGTTTGATTGCTTTTACTTACAGCAGTTCACAACTGCAATTGCCATGATAATGCATCCCAAGCTTTGTAAGATGTTCTGCCTGTGAAATATAACAAGATGAACCATGAATTTAAAACAGACTTTGCTGCTCCAATCAATTCAGTGTTATGCATGGCCTAACATGCCCTTTGTCTGAGTTGGAAAAAAACAGAGGTCTCTTCTACTAGGATAAAGCATCTATAATTTCCATAAATACACCAGCAAATGTAGCTCACTCTCTCTCTGGCAGGGCACATAGTGGGAGTTCTGGTTCTAATTATATTCAGTCCACACCCTTTCCCTGAGTTCTGGTTCTAATCTGTACAAACACAGTGGTCAAGACTGCTAGCCAGCTGGGAGATTGACATAGGCTAACAATGGATCCCTCTGCACAGTACTGGGTTCACAAAGAAGCTGCAGAAATAAGTCATGAGATTTTTTCTTTTTAAATCAGGGTATCGGGAGAGACCATAAAATCTGGAGATCCCCACTCCAGGATGAGCCCCTCCAACCTGGGGATCACAGCCAGGGTCCCAGTCCAGGATGAGCCCCTACAGCCTGGAGATCACAGCCAGGGTCCCAGTCCAGGATGAGCCCCTACAGCCTGGAGATCACAGCCAGGATCAGCTGCTACAGTCAAGAGTTTGCCAAAAGGGGCTCATCCTGGACTGGGACCCTGGCTGTGATCTCCAGGCTATAGGGGCTCATCCTGGACTGGGACCCTGACTGTGATCTCCGGGATGTAGGGGCTCATACTGGACTGGGACCCTGGCTGTGATCTCCAACCTGTGGTGTTTTATCTTGCACTCCAAAACACATTCAACAGCAGAGATGGTGGTCCAGCTGCTAAGAACAACATATTATACACAGAAATTTCAGAACGTCAGCTTTCACTGACAAGCACACCCGCTGAGCGTGCAGTTGGCAGACAGGGTGTTTGTGCCAGCTCGTGAGCAATCGACTTTCTAGGATGAAGTCATGACAAGTTCATTAAAGAACCCCCCCCCACCTCCAGACCCCTGTGCAGGTGAGAAAGAGTCTGGCCAAGAGATGACGTAAAAACAATTTAATCGCATTTGCCAAAGAGCCTAGTACAACATGCAAGAAACTGGTTATTAGCTTATTCTGACTGTAGGGTTTTTTTTTACACTGTTCCATCACATTTCTGTGAAATACAAGGTCTTCCTTACACATCTATTACATTGGTTTTTTTAAGTTGCAATATGTCAACCAAATCAAATAAACTAACAACTAATGGCACTGACAGTCTTGACTGCAGTGATTGAGATTAAAGTGGTGGTTTGGTCTTATTAATCGGCCGCCTCATTGGAAGCAACAAAGGCATCTTCAAAGGAAAGATTTTTTTATGCCAACCCCTCCCCTTCTCTTTCAAGGCATGTTTTATTGCTCCCCATCAAACATACAGGAAAAGCAATTTTCATTTGATTTGCGTAATAGAAATGAGGGGACACAGGAACATCAGTGCCCAAATAGTAGTAGTCTGCTAAAGACTAAATAACTGAATAATTGTTGTATGCAGCTGTGACACAGACTGCAATCTACTTTTAAAATTGCAGCCCAAACCTATGAGCCTGGATGCATGCCATTTTCATCGCACTTGTGCATGTGACAAATAAACTGAACTGAACTTTAGGTATGCCAAATCCTGACTTTTAAGATTGCAATTCTGGTGATCTTTTTTTCTGTTCCCCAGAACCTGCAATAGCACCAGGCCCAGGTACACACAGTGGAATGCAGTTTGGGAGCATAAGGACCAGAAGGCAGGAAAAGATTCTTCACACGGAGAATCGCTAGGCTCTGGAAACCACTTCCTAACCACGTGTCTGAAGCCCATTCTGAGGGATGCGCTGAAAAACTCTTTGATGGAATTCTTTGATCATTAGCAGCCCAAGTGAGCACGAAAGCTCTGAAGTAAGTTTAATTACTCATTTTTCTACTGTTGTCTCGTTGTTGTTTACTCATGATACAAACTTTCTATTCATCCCCTATGAATAGTTTTATATGGGACTTATTATACAAATATTGTACCTAATTGTACAAGGCTTTCCATTAATCAAGAAAGAAAGACTCTTCATGAGGGAAAACTGCCCACTTCCAGCTTCTTGACCTTCTTTAACACCCAGAATTTGTTAGCTGAATCAGTCACAGTTTCAGCACAGTTCCCACAAACTCTTAACAACTGGAAAATAAGTTAGCACAGGCCCACAGTGGGATCTGCCTACTCTGTTCTGCTGTGATTTTGTAGTACCGATTGATTTTGGAGTAAAAAAAAATATTTGCACATCAGAGAAGGTTTCTGTCTCCATATCATGATGCAATTACTTAAAGAATCTGTGCTTATAAAATGCATACAGGTACCTTGAAATGACCGCCCTGCTTAAGACCAGTATTTACACAGGGCCAACAAAGCAATGGAAGATGGCAAAACTCATTTCAAACTCTGTAATTTTATCATGTTACCATTCCCTTCCGGGCCACTAGGTGGCAGTGGTAGTGTAGCAATGCAGCGGTGGAGCTGGCGGGCGGCCCGCTTGATTGGCCGCAGGCTTTGTTTACTCCGGAGAGACATTCAGTCTGCGGTGCCCGATAACTCTGTAACTCAAGGCTGGGAGAGGTGTTTGACACGAGGTTTGCTCCCGGGGGTCCTCATCGGCTTCTTTTGAGCTGCTCACGCATATGCAGACATCAGGTGTTGCATACAAAGCGGCCTTGTCACCCACCCCCTCCTCTTCCAGGACTTTGAATATCGGAATTGCATCTTACCCACTGGCTCCTTTTCATTGGGAAAGAGATTCATGGGGATTGCGTGTAGATTGGTGGGGATCGCATGTGGGGGCGTCTAGGTTGCACACTATACAGCCGTCAGTCTTTAAAACATTCACACTCGCTCCCCCTACCGAGCTGGGACCTAAGACTCATTTTTAATATTCGTTTCCATACAACCAAAATAAGTACAATCATCTTGAGCTTTCAGATTTTTTTTCCCCCAGAGTATAGTACGGTGGAGTGCTGTTCTCTCTCTCTAGACATCAAACCCCAGAGAATTTAGAAGCCCTAATTAATTTCCATCTAGGAACAGATAGATAAATGAGTAAATGAGGGATACACAGTATATCGAAAGCAGATGGTTCCACACAGGTGTGGCTCCTGAGTTAATTAAGCAGTTATGCCATCATGTATAAACAAAGTTGGGCAGATCCAGTTGCCCATTATTTTGACTAACATGGCTGGGAGAAGAGAGCTCAGTGAGTGGGAGAGGAGTGATTCCTGGGGCAGGGTTTGGCTGGAGGCTTCAGTGATGAAGACCGATCAACAAGTTGGTGTTCCACAGGGAACAGTGGCTAAGGTGATGTTGGTGTGGAAGGCGGAGGCAAAGACATCGTCAACAAGGAGCAATCGTGGACAAAAGCAGATACTAATTGATCGAGATGCGCACTGGTTCAAGATGCAAGGCAAAACAGATGGGCAGCTCTGAATCGTTTGACTGCAGGTGTCAGTCTAAGGCATGAGCAGGTAGTTTCATCAAGTACAGTCTGCCGAGATCTTCACAGAGAGGGAGATTATGGTTGGGTTGCAGTGCATACGTCCCTCACCACACCTAAAAATGCACTTGTGCGAGTCAGGTGGTGCAAAGAACACAGGCAGTGGTCGACTGAGCAGTGAGTGGAAAAGAGCCATCTGACGAGTCCTTCACCCTGTTCTCAACAAATGGATGAGTACATGGGTGGAGCATGCCAAAAGAGACACCTACGGGCTTAAGTGCTCGTCTGCCACAGGGAAGAGTTTGGGTGGGCCTGTTATAATGTGGGGTGCACTTTCCTGGGATGGCTTAGGTCCATTAAACCCCTTACAGGCCAAGATCAATGCTCATAAACATACAGCCATGCTGAGGGGAAGTACTTCTCTCCTGCTGGGATGACAAGGCCCTGCTGTGGTCACTGAATGGTTTGTTGAGGCATGGCTGGCCTAGTTGCTGGAGCTCAACCCAGTCACCCATTAGGGGAGATTGTGGAATTCTGGAGAGGTGCCCGAGACAGTGCTTTCCATCACCATCAATAACACAGCAGCCAATGGACTTTCTAGTGGAGGAATGGTGTCACAGCCCTCCGATAGAGTTCGAGACACTTGTAGAGTCTACACAGATGCACACTGGAGCCATGCTGATGGCTCCCGGTTACCAAACACCCTATTCAAGACCCTTAGTGTTTTCATACTGCAGTCAACTTGCAACGTATGCAGGAGTTTGATACTTTGAGTTGCATGTAAAGCCAATTTCGTGTATAGTACAATTTTACCCTATAAGCCTCGAACAACCTCCTACTAACCTCTTCCGTGAATACAGATGAGTAAATATAAGGATAAAAAAGTAAATAAGACAACTGTAGAGGCTCACCAAATGGCCACTGCACACGGGTCAGCATTTTTTATTTTCTGTTCTGCTTTCTGCTTTCCAGCCTGGAATTAAGCTCTACTACTTGTCCCCCAAACCAGTAAAGGTGGTTTCTTGCTCTATGAGTCTCAGGTTTTTTAAGCCATGTCCCGTCTGCCTTTTTAAAGCTGTCTGTTAGCGTTGGCCTAGGGAGCAGGAAAATAAACCATGGACTTGGCTGGTGCAGTCCCTTGCTTTATTGCTTCCCTTGCTCTTATGTACAGAAGCATTCCAAAGTGCAAACATTCCCTTCCTTTTACTAGCGCAGCACACAAATCGGGGGGGAGAGAACAGCCTGACAGCATTGAAGGAACAGCCCCAAATCCGAAAGGGATAAACACCTGCCAGTGTGTTTATTTCAAAGCAGCCGTTTCATGGGAACCAGCTACTCGCCCTCTCTGACAACAAGCTGTACAAAGAAAACAGGAGACCGGTATAGGATCTTTTGTGATTGCTTTCTGCCAGCGTCCCTGTCTTTAATGCATTCAGACTCCACAATCCTTCTGTAAGATAACCTTATTAAGAACAACATTAAAGTGATCTTCTGCAACAGCACCTGTCTGAGAAAACCTAAAGATTATGGAAAGCCTCAGCATTAAAAAGAAAAGAAAAACTAGATAATAGCCTCAATGGCTTTGCTTATCTTAAGAGCTTAACTGGTTGCCCATTTTATTTTGCACATACAGTACAAGAACTCCAACAAGGGCTTCAAAGAAGAGAAAGGGAAGATTTTCAATAATTACATTGGCCAATGTCCACCTGGAGGTTTCAGGCTACAGCTCATCACCATAAGACCGCAGGATGAGCTGTAAGTGTAAATGGTGTGCCACCGAGACAGAAAAATGTCATCTTAGCCACATGCAGGCTGCACACTCTAAAATGGTCTCCCTTTGCATTAATGAAGAATGTTTCTTTTGAGTTTCACCATGTATAAATGTTTTTCTCTCCCCACATTGACCTAGAGTCAATGTGCAGCTGAATCATTACTCCCTGAATGCGCATTATTCCCCATCCTTGATAAACGTATAAAACAAAAACAGACATCAGATATGTAAAAACTAATTTTCATAATATTAGGTTGTCACATGATTAACAAGTGCAGAGAGATCTGTCAGGTCTTGGATATCCCAATGTCTTAAATATTTTCTACAACAATGAGATCGTGTGAGGAAATTGTCCATCACAGGAGACATTCCTCCTAAATGGAGTAGACAAAAAAACCAATTCAGTAAAGTGGATTCAGTTTGAAACTGGATTAAAGGAAACCCGAATTGATTATAAAGGCCACAGGACCCCATTCAAAACAGCATCCATTCCAAAAAGGTGATGCAGAACAAAATAGAACTTAACCACCTAGTTACTTTAGTAAAATTAGTACTTTTATGAGCATTAAAAGTTTGCCCATCATTTCACAGATGGATCAGGGGCCTGGACTCCAAAGAGTGGCAAGAGTTGAAAGGGGTCCTTCATTGGAAATTTTTTAATTTTGCTACTCAACGCCATCTCGTTATATTAAACCCCAAACATATCCAACAGATCTCCACCAACAGCGATCTGCAGCACATGGCAGAAATTCCCTGCATTTTTAAATTCCACATCACACTTGGTCTTATCTTCCGGTCATAAATCACAGACTAGCTCTTGATCCCAGTCTCCATTTGTAGCCTCAGCGTGAAGATAGGGGGTAGATGCCAGCCCTGCACATGTGCGTTCAAGCTGGATTTGTTTTATAAAAGCACTAATTTAAAACAGTGGAGCAAAAATACCAGGAGCAGTAGAGACACCCAGCATGGTCTCCCACTAATCTGGGTCCATGAGGCCAATCACAAGCAAGTGGTCACACTCAACACCCAACCCACAAATGAGCCCTAGCCTGTTCAGGAGTAGATTGCATCCATCTAAGATGTCTTCAGGATGATCTATAGGTCCTGCAATGTCCAATCCAATAAATAGTATATAATTTACTGTTCTCCACTAAAGGAAGACCAGATTACATGGCCTTGCCCTGTGTTCTCCAGTCTATAAGGTCTTATTCTACATGATGACATGGAGGATAGGCCCTGCAAGATGAACCCTAGCACTTGAAATTCTCAGACTTATCTAGGGATACTAAACCACATGCAGTGGCGACCATTACTTACGCATTTTCTGTTCTTAACTGGCCATCAGAACTTTAACTCCTGACTGCTCAACATGTGGGTCCCTATGTTTATTAACCAGGGATCAGTCCAGGCCAAATCCCAGGCTACAGACCTAAATTCCAAATATTTTGCTGGAAAGGGTCCACAAACTACAGAGAGAAGAGATGCCCAAGGCGGCAAAATGATCCGTTAACACCGCGCAACTCCTGCAAAACAACATCCCAGTGTCCACTTGGAAAAACCTTTCAGGATGTCGAAGCCAAAACTCCCGCTGGTCTAGGAGGTTCCATCACCTTTTTGAGAAAGAGTTGAAAGGTGTCCTGCACGGTCATTCCTCAAGGGGTTCTGCAAGATACCTCTTGAATCCCAACCCAAAAATTCAGCCGGAACTTAAAATCCTTGCAAAAGTGTTTCGTGGTGGGGGGGGGGGGGGGGGGGGTTACGAAAGCATTCCTAAGTACAGCAGACAACTTGGACCAGGTGACCCGATCTCCGTTCTAATGTTTAGTTTTGAAGCCCATCCTCAGGAAGTCACCTCCTTGATCCAGTCAGTCATCTTGGTTATACGGGTGTAAACGCCATAGTAGTTGGGCCGCCCGCATCCAACGCCCCAGCTGACCACCCCGGCCAGGAACCAGCGCCCGGAGGGCTCCTTGCACACAAGCGGACCTCCGGAGTCCCCCTGAAAAACAGAGCATCCCCCCACCCACCACCATTACAAACACACCAGCGAGCAAATCCATTGGAACACCTCACAGGTTTGAGGTTACCAAGCTCCCAACTGTATTCATAATGCCAAACATTGTTGGGGCGACTGAATTAGGAGTTGATCGGTTTCTTGAACCCTTGCAAAGAAAGCACATCGTTAAGTAAGTTCCAATGGCACCTTCTTATTTAGAACAATGGAGATACCCGTTGTTAAACATGGCCAACCTCATTAGATACACAGGCAAACACCTTCCAACCAGGTATTTACTGCAACTACTATTTGTGTTGTGATCTATGCAGTAACAATGACTGCATGATAATTACGACAAGGGAATATGGAATTAATCTTTGGGCTCTTCCACTGGGTTTGCAATGCCCTTGATCAGTCCTTCAGAGAGCAGGCACTACCCAAGGGCATGAGAAGGGGTTCACTTCCTCACCTGGCATGCGTCCTTCTTCCCATCTGGGTACCCGGCGCATAGCATCCTGGGAGAGATCTGGTAGCGGTACGACCGATTACAGATGTCCTGGCTGATCAAGCGCACGTCAACTTTCTGAAGGATGCTGCTGACGGGACCTAGGAGGATGAAGGTGGCAAAACTCAGGAGGGCCAAATGCACAGTGTCTCGGGACTCATTTACAGCGGGCTGGACTGCGCTTTCAGAGTCAAGATCAGAATGCGGGGATTTTACATAGATCTTGCATCAAGTAGGGCGAGATGCGTGACCACCTGAGAAGTTGGCCGCCGATGCTTATCAAGGCCACTGTAAAAGATTATCCCAATGCATTCTGGGCTTGTCATCATGGGCTTTCAAGGACAACTTCACTCTTCTCCAGTACCAGGGTCCAGGATGGAGCCCTGACTTTTTAAATGCTTGCATATGGGCAGATTTAACTGATCTGGCTGTTACTCTACAGCGATTATACATTCATTGCCTTTGTAAGTTGTCTACACTGACTTCTTGGCGTGAGATGTGTCTGGCACAGCCACAGTCTGGCATGGAAAAATGAGAGGAGGCAAATGGTAGCTACCATTGTCCACTTTCTACCCTTAGTGTGAGAGTGGCTAGTAATGGTCTGAGCATAATATTGAAGAAAATGCCAAGAGGCCACTGCTATCACAGCTAGGCCATAACTACTTAGCATAGCAGAATACCAGAATACCAAAGCATAGTATTCTGTTTGGATTTCAATTCTCTCTCATTATTAAAATGGTGCTAGAGAGGTTTCTCTTTTTGTACCAGGAACTAGGACCCTGGTTCTTCCTGCATTGAGGGCAGCTTAGGCTAAGATGCAGTCCAAAGCAAGAATATAATTTTATCAGCAATATTAAGATTACTGCAGGGGCTAGACAGCATTGCTCCAAGGACCAGTCCTGGTTCTTTAATAGAAAGTTGATAGTTTACCCTGGGCACCATCTTTTGAGAAAAACTAATCAAACCAAGCCTGCCCGACTTTGGAAAGTGGGAAGAAACTGATGCACCTAGCAAAATCCAAAAGCAGAATCAAGCTTGGGTCTCTGGAGCCATGAGGCACTACCAATCTACACGTGAACTAGTTGCAGCTCTAACAGCAATTGTCTCTGCCGTTTTCTTCCATCTTAGACCCAGATCTTTTTGAGCCAGACTCATGTACTTCATCGGGACATCAGACACTATACGGCCCTTGTTGTAACGGTATGGTATTTTAATGTTATTTTGTCTGAGGTCTTTCCTCAACGTCATGATTGGCCCAGATGCTGGCCCTCTCCCGATTTTGAAGCTCAGGTCACCTCCTTCTTTCTTGGCCCCCCAGCCCGTCACCCAGCACAGGATGCCGGGCTCCAGGAGGTGGGTGGGGGCCGGCAGGCAGGCCGGCTGCGCCACCGTGGTCAGGAAGATGGGTTTGTCCAGTCGGAGGAGAGCCAGGTCGTAGTCGTGGGTCTCGTCGTCGTAGTAGTGGTGCGTATGGATCTCCTGCACCCGGAAAGACATCTCGCTCTTGCTGCTCTGGTCCAGGCGCAGCTTCCCCAGGTAGACGGTCCACTGGGAGGGGAAAGCTAGACTGAGGGAGAGCGGAGAGGCAGGAAGGAAGGAGGAGGCACAGAACGAGACGGAGGAGTGATTAAATCGGCCACACAGGCGAATGCTTTCATGGTAGGAGCCAAGGTAACCAACTTCATATCCTGAGAAGGGCTAGCTGCTCTGTATCCAAGCGATTCCTCCACAAATGGCAATAGATGGACTAGGAGGCCACTCCTGCTCAACACCAGGCCTGTGGCTGAATCCCTAATCCGTTATCGGCCAGGCTGAGACAAGAGGTTCTAAACACTATTCCAGAAGTGAGGGCTGTAGTGTAATGTGAGAGAGGGTACAAGTAACATTTCAAATCTAAGGATGTCCCTCACCTTTCAATACTCATTTACCCCCTTTAAATCTCAGCTTGTTCTGTCCCACATGTGGATTAATCCAGATCTTCACCTTCCACCCTCTTGCATCAACAGTACGGCTCATAACCATCTGAGCCCAATATAGCAAGAAACAGCAGAAGCCATTGGAAATGCAGCTACTAGTAGTGGTAGAACTACAGTACGTTAACTGAAATAACCAGAGCCTATGCTTTGAAGCTTATTTTTTATATTGCTTGTAGGTGCTACTACAAAAATAAAAACCAACCATCATTCTTTTTCATAGGAGGGAACAAAGATCTCAGTGAAATATGAATTCTTGATTAAGATTCTTACATAGAACATCTTATGGGAATACAAAATCTCATCAGCTGAAATCTTTCTGCAGCAGAGAGAATATAAAGCAAATCGGCAATGATGTGTCCCATTTTGAGTGCCAAGCACAAATTAAAAAAGGCACCATCCTTCATGTGTGAATGAAAAACCAAGGACCTGAATCTGTGTGGTCATTAAAATTCCCAGGGCATTTCTCGAGAAGAGGAGGGGTGTTATCTTGGGCCAAGTGTCCTGACCAAATTTCCCGCTGGTCTTTACCAATCATGGCCTCCTAATAACCCCCATCTCTGAACTGGCTTCATCACTCTGCTCTCCTCCCCACTGAGCGCTGGTATGTGGGGAGAGGACTGGAGCATCATCCAGGTGGGGAGTCCCCATTACCTGCACAACGCTTTGAATGGAGTGTCCAGAAAATCACTACAGAAGTCTAAGGAATTATTAGATTAAGTCTTTAAGTCAAAAGCGATGATGATTCAATTTTTTTCCTTCCACTTCAGTCTGAGAACTCATTACAGCAACCTGCAGATGATTTCCCATTATATTCTTCTCTCGCACATCTGCGATATATCACCCAAAAAAGCATTACCTCGTCAAGCATCTTTATCAGATTTTTACAGCACACATCATATAATTTTGACAAAATCAAGGCAGCACTCCTCACCTATCATCTTGGAAGCAATGTGCAGCAGAGACCACCCACTGGCTGGAGATCAGTGCTCCCCCGCAGAGATGGCGACCTTTGACCTGGAGGCTGGCCTGCCATGGCCACTCCCCTTCTGTGGAGTTGGTCCCGCCCACCACCCGACTCGTGAACTGCTGGAGGCCACACTCTGCAACATCG